TAAAAAAAAAAAAAAAAAAAAAAAAGAAAGAAACAGCAAAAACATAGTAAAAAAGTACCTAGGACTGTTAGCTGTGTATAGATGGGTTGAGTAAAAAATTACACCTCTAGCTACTGATTATGGATATCCAGTTTGACACCAAAAACACAGCCCACCTTTACTGCTGTTTTCTATGTGACTTAAGTAAACATGACCAAAATTTGCAGTTTAGAGAGACTGGAAATCATGCAATTATTTAGTTATTTATTCTTCAATTTGACAGGTAAAAAATGGACCAAGTAGTACTAATATAAGGGTATTTTCTCTTCTGTACGTTTATTGTCTAACATGATTCTACCTGCAGGAAGCAAGTAGAACGGTGGAACAGAAATCCAAAAGAGAACAACAGATTTCCAAAGATTCTGGATTTCTCTATAACCTACAACATATGCCCCAAAGATTTTTGTGAGCCTAAATAATTAATTGAACTGTAGGCATTGTAGATCAGCTTTTTTTCTTTTTTGCCTTTTTATTGTGGGGAATAGGGAGAATTTAGACCACCTAAAACAATTTTCAGCTCAAATTTTCACTGCAGAACAACAACCCCCCTAAAAAAGGTTTCTCTAGTTAATGCAACCAGAATTTCTATGTTATCACCTTTAAACAGATAGTTGGCAAGAATTTATTACAAAAAGTTTTTAGGAATATGTTTCATATTTAAGTCTGCATAGTGGATACTGAGATGTTTTTAATGTGTAAACTCTTTTCTATGCCAGCAGCAGAACTTCTCCCCTGTATTTGTCATAAGCAAGTAAAAGACTTTGTGTACATGGAACAAAATACTTCTTTCTGCACATTAGTTTCATTTCTCACATGATAATTCATTCAGTGCTAGTGTCCACCATTATGTGTTTTATAAGGCAATTAAGCTAATTATCCTCCAGTCTTCCACAATATATGTGGCTTTAGAACTCATATTGCATCTTAGCATGCCTAGTGGTGCAAGGAGTGTTCCCATTATGTTCAGTCTTGATCCCACACACAGCTTCAGAACAGTTAAGACTTTTCATCAAGTATTTGCTAAGTTACTATGATATTAAGGGACTTGAATTATGAAAATTCAATAAAATTTTACCACAACAGTGTATTTGCCATAACCCCAAAGGAGATTGCTTGAGTGACATGATTACAATTGCTGTCCAATTCCAAACACACAACAGATGAAAGTTACAATGTAATTTTCCCTCATTTTGTTTGTTTTCTATTACTTTTCAAACAAAAAGCATAAATTCAGGAACATCAAACCACAAGGGAAAATTCTTTTCCTCTTAGCTGGGAAACTGTCTAACTGGAAAGTTGGCATAACACTGCTGCCCAACAAGTGGTCTGAGGCAAGGCACCATCAGGGTACAAGGGAAATTCAAACCCAGAGTGTGGATATCATCCTCAGAAGGCTATACTGGAATTCCTCATGAGGAAAAGCCCTTGTTTATTTGGCAATATCATTATTATAAATTTATTCACAAGTAATAACTGATTGTTTAATGGACTATCTTGGGAGAACTTTTTGTTTCTAGATGTTGAAATCTTAGAAAAATATGTATAGGTTGGAATGATGCATAAGAAGAGGGCTATATCTTATTAGAAAAACCTCAAGGCTTTTAATAACTATTTTGCATTGATTGCAAGACAAGGAAACATCTGTCTTGCTCCTTCATTTATTCTCAAGGTTTATTGGTTTGGGAAAAAAAAAACAATTTCTTACAAAAATATGCATAATGAAGGTTACTAATACAGATACCTCTTACATAGAATATGACAGGTTTTTTAATCAAGAGGTATTTTTCAGAAGTAAATTGTTAGTACTTTTTTAACTGCAGTCGAGTTTTCTTAAAGGAAGGACATCATAATAGCATGGGGTGACCAAGTAGCTTCAGAATGAACATGTAAAATATTGCAGTGCCTGAGGGGGAATTGGGATTAGTAACTGTCAGAATACAGATGTGTGAAAAAAAATGTAACTTCACACTATTACCTGAAACATAAAAACAATTCAGCCCTATAAATCAAGGACAACTAAATTTAATTACAGCACCAGAAAATTATGTTTTTCACCTCTACTCTGGACAGCCCCAGCAATGCAGTTGCAACTCGAACGCTGCTGCTCTGCAGAGTCCCAGTCATCAATCTCCTTTCATACTCAACAGATGACATCTGCTGCTGTGCAGCCAGAGCCAGGGCCCTCTCTCTTGCCTCATTGATCAATGGAATCCTCAGATTCTCCTCCAGAGTCTGACCAAGTCCACATTTCAAATATAAAACTGGCTGTGCTGGGCTTGCATCTGTTAAAAAGTCCAAAGAAATGAAAGGGCAAGACAAAACCAAACACCATATTTATTTATCAGCTGGTGGAACTGCAGAGAGTATTTAAAATTTCTAATCTCCAAAGAAAATAAGAATACAAAATTCTTTCAAGGTTTAATTCCATGCTATTAACCTAGTACATGCCATTTATTACCTATAATATTTTATTTTTCAACATGATAGGGAAGTAAAAATTAGCAGACTGAAATGCAACCTAAAATATAGCTAATAGAGCTAACAAACAGCTAATAAAAAAATCCCAGACTTTAGTGTTACTACCATTATGACAGTATTAAAAGTTTACCAAAGTCTTTCTGCTACCTACACAACACAGCCATGCTTTTACCCCCTAGATGATGTTTTATCTCCTCTAAAAGAAACACTCAGAAATTATTTCAAGTAGCAGCTACACTGATTCTAAAATAGGATGGACAGCAGTTTATCCCTGGCTGTTTGAAGACAAAAGGAATATCATTGGAATATCACATCACTGTACACAAAACTCATGTTTTAAAGCTAGAGAAATTCTAGATAAAGATGACTTGTCCTGTTCATATGGCTAGCAACCTATATTTAGAAGAAAATAAGAAAAATTATGAAAAAGTATTTATGTAGACTATGTTAAAAACAATACAAGACAAAGATCACCAAAAACTAGCTGATGCTCTAAAGAGATTGGACTGGAAAACATTAGAAGAAATATTGCATATATTCATTCTAATGTATTTTTTACACTTCACTCTAAACAATTTATTTTTCACCACATGTATTTAATAGTTTTAAGAAAAATCCATATAAATAAAATAATATTACAAAAAATTTTTTTTTGCTCTGTTTTACTCTTCTCCCTTCTATTCACTGTACCTTCTGAGGTAGCCTGCAAAACATTTGGACTATCCAAGGCAGGCAATTCTGAAGACAGAGGTAAATCACCCGTTCCCTCAAGCAGGTACACAAAGTCTCCAATCTGAAACACAAGGATACACATCCAGACACTTCAAAGAGAAACTCATGCAGAACAAAAGGCAAAGTATTACAACTAACAGCAAAAATATCCTTGTGACATCTCAGATCTGACCTAAGCAATAATTTAGATATGTAGAACTGTTTTTATAAACTATGCCTAAATATAAGCAAATTATTATTTCAAGCCATGCTACGATAATAAATTAACTTTAATTAATAATATTAAATCTGAAAAGTCAAGAAATTTCAAAAAGCAGAATCCTTTCAAACTCCTCATAAAATTTAACTTAATAAGGGTACCGTGACCAATAAATACAGCAAAAATTTGAATTCTAACTACCTACAACAGTTACATATATTTAAACATGTTCATGAGCAACCTGCATTGCTCTTCACCACTTGGAATTTTTTTTTTTAAAAGGTTTACAATAGTTTTGAGCCGGAAACATTTCTCTAGAAAGAAAAAAAAAAAAAGTAAGTCAAAGCAGATTAGCATCATGTACAAATTCTCTTTAAAAAAAATAAAGTTAGTAAATTTTGATTATTTCATTAAAAATGGAAAATCTACAGAAGATTGAAAGTAAATATAAAGATGGCCTACAACAAAGCAAGACAGTAATTTTTAATACAGGAAATGTTAACTTAATTAGCAGAGAAATAACAGCTTGAATTATAGAGGGAATAAAAAAATAAGGTACAAATGAAAGACAGAAAAGTATTTTTGAAGAAAACTCACTGAAAGTACTCCAAATGAAAGACCAACAATCAGAATTGCCCAAACGAAAAAAATATCAAAGTTAGGTACCACACACCTATCTGAACTAGGCAGGAAATTTAACATATATAATGCATATATGGCTTTGATAATTTCTTTGTGTTTACCACATTTTTTTCAGACAATTTTAGCTTCTACTGATTGCAAGATAAAGAATTAAATGCCTCTGCAACAACTGATATAATTTGCACATTCTATGTCTCTTTATTTCCATAAACCATATTCTGTAAAACTCCACCCTGTATTCTGTCTTTTACTCTTCATTCCAGATATGAAGGAAATAATTTATTTATCTAATTTAGTGCATCTGCCAACTGACACAATGTTTTCCTGTTAATACTGCTCAAATGTATAGGAAAACCATGTTTTTTCCTTTGCCTTCATTTGTAGTTTCATCAGATATTTATGTTAAGGCTGAAAACACTGCAATTATATTTCTGACCCAGCAGAAGGAAAGATATTCAACTTTGATGGCATTTTCTCCCCTTCCTTGATTCAAGAGCTCACACAAATCTTCCTTGAGAAGGATTAAAGAAACCTCCAGCAAAATTGGATTCTCACACACAAACAGCCACTCCTGGGAACCAATTTAAACAGGAATTATTCCTGTTTGACACAGTGATTTGGCTCCATAAGGGCCCTTAACAAGCTCACAGCACACACAGCTGATTTTAAGAAGGTGCTGGTTGCTGGGATGCCATTCTGCTATCAGCTGCTTTTCCTGTCCTTGCTGAAATCAATATGCTTATAGGAAGGAACAAAATTCCCCAATTTCCTCTTTGTTTTGAAGAATTCTGGGGTTCTGATCTCCACAGAATGCAAATCCTGGTTTTGTTCCACTGAGCTTTTGGAACAGAATGGGTATTTCATTGAACTTGGAGAGTTTAGCTTGTATGTCCATGGTTTTAATGATTTATATTTCCAGTTTCCATCGGCCTGCAAACAGGACAGCATCAGCATTGTGCAGGGTTTACTGTTAATGAAAATAGTTAATAAAAGAGCTGTTGAACTTTCTGTCCAATCCCATTGCTATCTGATGTTTCAAAAGAATGTAAGGCTACTGGGAGTTTGTAGTTGCCTGTGCAAGCCAGTAAGAGCAACAGACAGCAAAGTGTTCTTTCAATAAACAATTTACTTTTATACCAGACACTTAGCTGTCAAAGTCTGGACTGACACTCTTAAACTATGATTTAATAAATTATTATCATTAAAAATTCCACGTTGTTCACATTTAAATTACCTCCTGGAAACAAAGATATATTTTTTAAAAAGCAACAAAGTTATGTTTAACAATATTTAATGTCTTCTACGAAAAAAATCTATGCCAGAAGTCTGAAAAATGTCTGTTTCAATTTTTCTTAAAGAACAATAAAGAACTGAAACAAATCCTTGAGAAATGTACAAAATGGTTTGTTCTGTCATTTCAAACCTTAGGAAAGTTAACATAAAGATTATTTCAAAATAAGGAACATCCTTGAGGCCAGAAGCCTTGAATCAGTGTATCCTCTTCCTGTTATTTCAAATATATAGCTGCTGCAGTGATGGATAGGATTCCCAATTAGATTCAAGTACAGTGATTTAAATCTCAATACCTCCATTACTGATTGGAAGGAAGGAACAGATCTACTCTGATTACTAGTTTGGTCTATTTGTAGGGAAGGGAAAAAAGGGGTAGGAAAGGTGGGCAGGAAAAAAAATCACAGAAATCCTAAATTAAATTATTTGTTAGATTTTATATAAAGCACATGTCCATATTTGAATGATGCAAGACTCTTCATTGTATAAAGTCATTTGGTCATCATACAACATGGTGGCTGCATTTCTTTGTCAGTTAATGGTATGATTGAAATATTGCAGTCATATACAAAATATTTAAGAAAGCCAAATTCTTCCTGTGCCATTACTATAGAGCCCTAAAATCATGTTAGATATCTTGCAGTTTCATCTTTCCCTAGGAGATTTAATACAATTCTTCACAAATTATGCAGTTAAGTAGATGGAGGTAATTTTTCTAACCTGAAGTTCTGCATATCAAAAACTTTGCACTTTTAGGAGCCTTTAAATGCATCACATCTACTCAGCTAAGCTGGAAGGACCAGGTGATCCAAAAAAAGTTGCCATACAGGATTAACAGCAGCTTCTCTGAGGCATTACTGCTTCCTGCTGTGAAAAGGTCACCTAAACCTTTATTGTGAACAGTGACTAGTAGCTAGGTGGCTAAATTTATTTCTACATCACCACTGGAGGCAACATTGGGGCTGTCAGAAATGTACTTTTCCCTTTCCACCTGAGCTATGACCATCCTACAGCTCTAACTACATCTCTTAGATTAACACTCTTTCCTTAACATGTCTAAATTTCCCTTCACTTCTTCATTTAGCTTTCAGGCTCTATTCCTTGTGTAGCAGGAGCCTACTCTTCTCAGCCAAGGTGTGACTTCTTCTTCTAATAAAAATACAACAAACAGGTAAACTGCCAATAGCAGAGATTTATAGGGTATAAAATAGTAACAGGTAAAAGGAGATTCTTCTGAGATTTACTCCCAGACAGCAGTAGGCAAGGTTCTTCCTTGTCTAGAGACTGCATCTAGATAGTTCACTGAATTAAACTGATGGACCTAAAATTCATTTATTAATGTACTGCTGTTGATGTGTATTTCTTCCCTAATAATTTCTCTCTTTGAATGATGCTGAGCACTGGATTGATTTTCCACTGAACCATCCACAAAGATTGTTAACCTCTGACATGGGGACTCTTTGTGGGTGATTACCTGCTGTCAATAAGGTGTGAGCTCTCTATTTCAATGTGAATTAAACAGAAATTCCTCTTCTATCTCAGCTAATTTTCAAGAAAATCAAGAGAACTGTACACCCTTTAAGATGTCCAGACATTTGGTTTGTTTTCTTTAAAAATAGCCGGTATTTTCAAATACTGGACGTAGTCAGAAAGACAGACTTGGGCATCATTGTATCAGTTTTATTTTCCTTTATGAACAAGACAAAAAAAATCAAGCTGGCCTTGTGGCATAGCCAAAGTCATGTTCAAGCAATAAAAAATCCCATCAAACACACAAACACCAAACATCAGAAGTTCCATGTTCTATAGCAGGTAAGAATATGGAAGCTGAGAATGTGCAGGAGAAAAAGTCATTTAGTTTTAGATGCATTGTTACAAATCATCAAATTCTCTGGTGGCAGAGAGAAAGGCAGAGGTATGTCATTGCACAGAGGGGAAGCTGAAACACAGAGGCATTGTTAAGAAAGTAAGAAGCAGAATCCAAGCCTTGAGATCAGCCATACATAAAAGAAGATTATAGAAACAACATTGACAGCCAGAGACAAAACACGGCAGACAGGTTAAAGAGGTGAAAAGGTGGACTAAAGACACTAATAAGATTGTGACCACTGAGACAAAGTATTACAGGAACATCAAAAAGCTGGATTGCAAGGTTGGAAGTTCTGAAATATGATCAAAATCAGATCTTGGTGATCTGATTGAATTTCAATTAAGTATATAGGGCAAAACCCAGGCTACATGAGACAAGAGAAACTGAAAGGTTGTGGAGTCAGTATTCATGTACAGTCTGTACTGAATGGAACTCTGATTGAGAAAAAAATTTTAAAAGAGACAGGAAAGAAAATTATTATTCTACTTTGACAGCATACCCTAAATATAGTGATGAATACATGGAGAAGTACTGAACAGTAAAGTCTTTATCCATTCCCTGCCTATGCATTATTCTTGCACCCACGCCAAGACAAATTATTTAAATTTCTTTTTTTATTTTGAAGCTCAGATGCCTAGAAAAGCCACCAAAATAATATTCCCTGCAGTATTACTTTTTAGTACTTAGTGGTGTTAAAGTTGCCTGCAGCACTTCATATAATTCTAAATTATGTGTAAAAGGACAGTAAACAGTTGCCCTTGATCAGGACACCCAAGTCCCTTTTCAAAGCACTGCTCTCATTTTCCCTACTTATGCACAATTGGCAAAAGTCCTGATTCTTACCTGACATGATAAACATAGAACATACACTACATACACTTTATTCATACCTTTTCATTAACCAGCATGACAGTGCAGTAACGCTTTTCCTGATGAAAGGGAAGGAAGTGAATATCTAAGGTTGCAGAACATTTCCCTCTCAAGAACAGTTTTTCCATTGGACTGAAGAACTCATGCAGGAGGCCAAACTGATCAGCTGTCAAAATAGATTTAAGTGGATGTTTAGATACAACAGCACAGGCTGTAAAATAAAGTAGTTGCATGAGTTTTAAAAAAAAAGATACTGTATACAGCCTCCTGTAGCAATCAGTATTTAAGGCACACCTGTAACCAGTAATCAGTATTTACAGTTACAGTTGTGTAGATGTGCCGCAATATTGCATGCTGTATTATTTAAATACATTTTGCTAATTACCTGTGTTCTTACTCTATACACTGAAACAAAACTGGGGAAAATAGCCAATTCTCACTTTAAAAATTCCTTAAGGAGGTACAGCCTCTAAGAAAAGTCTATTCACATCAGAAGGAAAAGTATAATTTACTGCAATTTGAACAAAGAATCTCACTCTCAGTGCAGCAACTATGTACCCAAGAATATATGTGAAAGTGTAAACAACAAAAACAAGTGAGATCACATAAGAAAATTTTGCCAAACTCTGGCCAAATAAAACAGGGATGGGACACCCACAGCTTCTCTGAGTAATCTGTTCCAGTGCCTCACCACCCTTCACAGTAAGAATTTATTCTTCATATCTAATCTAAACCTGTCTTTCTTCAGTTTAAAGACATCACCTCTTGTTCTATCCCTACATATCCTTGTAAAAAGTCCCTCTCCAGCTCTCTTGTAACTCCTCCAGGTACTGGAAAGCCACAATAAGATCACCCTGGAACCTTCTCCAGACTGAATTTTTGACTGTGACGCACAATTTGAGGCCAACATTTTATGAAAACTATAAATAATAGCTACTAAGCATATCCATAAATAATATTTATTGAACATACTTAGATGTCAAAATCTTGCTTCTGTAGATAATCTAATTTCTACTGTAGTAAGACATGAGGTATTGCATAGGTACTTACGGCAAGTGTCTTTCTTTGAATCTTCAAGCAGTCCACCATTTTTTGAACTTAATATGCTATTTTCAGAACTAAAAGGAAAAAAAATAAAACAATATTCTAAAACAATATTCTAAAGCTGGACATTTTCATTACAAATTGATAGCTTAGTTCCCCATTTTATGAATAAATACCAAAAAAGCAAATGCTTTCAACACAAAAAAACCCCATCAAATAGACCACTACATTTTGGAACCATTTTCCAAACAATAATGTTAAAAATCACCCTATCCACTTGAGGTGGCTACAGGAATGACTTATATTAATTAACATTGATGTTAGTCATTCAAAAGAAAGCTAACATAATCAAGGCTTTGTCTAAGAAAGGAGAAAGGGATGAATCTTAACCTAATCACCTGAACTCTGCTCATTACAATATTGCCTTTCAAGTGTGTTTGAAAACAACAGATATACTAGAAAAAAACAGCTTCAAACAAAATCTCCTTTGAACTTTCATCCTCCCAAAACAAACTGTGCTCCTCACCATCACATTTTCTTAGTGTGACTTTATGTAGTTTTCTATTCTTCTTCACAAGTAATTCCCACCATTGTTGACAGATGTTAAGATGATGGTGCAGTTACACTTATGGAAGAAGATTTTTGCTTAATTTACAACATGCACAGAGCTCAAAGATGCTGAAAACAATACTATAATGTATCAAAAAATACTGTGAGTTTCAGCTTCAGTTTCACAGTTTCAAAACTCTGATTTTAGATTATCCACACATAAAAGTTATTCCCCCTGGCAGTAAAATTTGGTGAACCAGCATACAGCAAACAATTACTACATACAATGTTTGATGTTGGGTCTCTCTTAAAATAAATAGTTAGTCTTCCTGGGCTAAGAAAAAATCATAACCTTAAATAAATGGACGTGCAAAACTCTTAGAATATGTTACCCTGGAGATTTGTTTTAATACTTATACTTAAAGACCATTTTTCAGAAAGGAAAATGATCTCTGAGTATATGCAACATACTATTTATACTATACTTTACAAATAAGTATCTCACATTGAAAAAAATACTAATTTAATATAAAATATCATTTCTCTCAATGCTTTATCTTTGGATGAGAATGCCAAATCCTGCTTGCAAAAACAGACTATAGCAGAAGAATCACTGTAAAAGTAACAAATAGCTGAAGAGCTGTATGAAAAAATAATAAGAATAGTACAACAAAACACATTACATTTTTTCACTGGTGAGAATTCTACATTGAATAAGGCCTATTTTCAGATCTGAACAACTGAGAAACTCATTAGACTGATTTAACATGGTATTGAACTGCTCTCAATATCAATTTTTTTCTTACTTCAGTGAACAAAGCACTTGCAGGTAAGTGATGGGAAAAGAAAACAAACCTGTGTTGTGGAAGACATGAACATTGTGTCTCATTCTTCCATAACAAAAAGAAATAGCATCTTGCTCAATAATAAAACTGAAAGGAATAAAGTTCAGAAGGTGTAAGAAGCTTGGTTATGTTCAAAGTCTGGTTCAATACATCCTCTTTCAATACATAGAGAATAAGGCAAAGGATTAGGGAGAAGAGTTTAAAGCTGCTATAAAATAAGTCTACACAAACTGTTCACCACACCTGGGTCAGGCAAATCCCTGGGATCAACAGAGAATGTGGAATGAATGGCTCAAAAGCAGCCCTGTGGAGGAGGATTTGGGCATATTGGTAAATGAAAGATTACAGATGAGCTGGCAATGTCCACTCTCAGCCCAAAGAGCCAAACGTGTCCTGGCTGCACCCAGAGCCCCGTGGGCAGCAGGGCAGGGAGGGGACTCTGCCCCCCTGCTCTGCCCCACCTGCAGAGCTGCCTCCAGCTCGGGGGTCCCCAGCACAAGAAAGACAGAAGCTCCTAGAGGAGGGCCACAGAAGGGGTCAGAGTGCTGGAGCACTTCTACAGAGATACCCTGGAGGAGATAAGGCTCCAGGAAGATCTCACTGTGGTCTTTCAATATTTAAGGCCAGAGCAGGGGGAGCAGGGGACTGGGGGGAAACAAGAGCAGCTCATAAGAAAGAGAGACCAAGCAACTTCTCCAACTGCCCCTCATTTGGCTTGGGGTTTTTGCTGACAGAGTAAGACAATTTTACTGTTCATTAAATGAACAAAAAGCTCAAGATTATGTTACAGGTGAGGATGGGTTAATGAGGGCACCTTTCAGTTGCTTGGCTGAGGTGTGAATACTTCCAATTCATTCTTTCTGGGGTTACTCTAAACAGTTCAGATTAAAATCACAGCCTGGATAGGAAGAAACCTTGAAGATCATCTAATTCCAACCTACTTCCATACTTTTGCACCAGTAAGAGTCCAGTATCTGCTACAGTCAGATACTGGTTCCAACATAACACCACAAAGCCACTGGGCTTGCCATGTCATCAGGTGTTTCAAAAAAACAGATCAAAAGGCAAATCATCTCTGCAGTCAACACAGAGAGTGTTCATACATCATCATGGCATATGAGTTATCTTTTTGTCATGGTGTGCCTTTACTCTTCATGCCAGGCTCCAAACAAGCCAATAACTCTGTTTCCCATTCAAAAAATGCTCAGAAAAAAAAAAAAAATAATTACTTCCTTATATGTATTTGGAGAAGAATTTACTATCTTATAGCTCTGGATTATATATATTACCAAGGGGGGTAAAAAAAAGTGCCAGACACCAGAAGAAAATCCTAAATTCACAGAGCAGCATCTTAATCAATCAAATTTAGGATGTTTAGCAAGAAAAGATCTTATTAGAGAGAAGGGATACAACAAACTGCTTAGAAATGCATTGAAAATACTGAAACATTTGGACACAAAATTCACATCTAAGATACTCACCAGTTTCTACACTCTGTGGAATAGCTTATGATTTCTGAAGAAAGGGTAGGATAGAAACTAAAACAGGAGCTGCCCAAAATAGGTACTAAGGCTTAGAGTAGCTGGATTTCTTTGATATCAATTACCCAGAATTGTAATGACTCCTGATAACATATTTGTAAACTCTATTTTATGAAACAGCAGGTATTAATGCTGTATCTCAAATTACAAAGAGACACCATTTTTAGATCCTAATTTTTTCTTTATTCTTCCAGTAAGTAAATAAAGGTATTCTGCATAACATAATTCTTTCCTTGGCACATGAAACAGCTTAGAATAAAAAGTGTAAGAATGGAATGCAGAAAATTGAAATTGTTTGGAATTCCTGACGTTATCTCCAGTTTTAAAAAAAGGAGAAATTAATTTAACAGAAAGAAATTATACACAATGAAGAGCTTGATTTTAAATTCATTCATTAATTTTCCCCTTTTTGCTTTAGAATACTTTTTTTAATGTAAAAATATTTCTCAAAATTCACAACTTGTTCTGCAAATTGATGTGTGCTTTTGCACAGATCCAGATCCAGCCTTATGGACACCACTGTATACAATAATCTGCTTAGTCATGGTCTTAGATTAGGACTATTAGTGAAATCTATCTTTACCACTTCCTAGTTTTACAGTAGAAAATTTATGAAGGAAAAGTTAGCTATTAAATGTAACCTTGAACTTTTACAGTCATTTGATACTTATTTTTTCTAATGGACATAATTTAAAAATACCAACATGCTTGAAAGCTATGGGTAGTTTTCCATTACACAAAATTTCTGGGCCATGTGGTGTGCTTCTCTCCACCTGATTTTCCTTCTCCCACAGGGAGTAGACCATGCTGGCACACAGATGTAGACCAAAGACAATAATTCAAGTGTCAAGGGCTTGGAAAAGCACAGAGAAGTGGATAACTTGAAAAGTCTTGTCCCAGTATACTTAAAAGAAAACCTATGTCAAGTGGATTAAAAAAAAAATAGTGCTTCTCACTAAATACCATCCAGTTCTGCAAGAATAAAGAGGTCTTGCCTGCAACCATTGAAGGATGGGCTGCTGTGAGAGTTTTGGGCTTAGACAGTGCTGTGTCCCAGCAGGGCACAGGAGTTCCTCAGGCTCCAGCTCCAGACTGGGATTGTTCCAGCCACGCTGTGATGGACCCACATCACAATGACAGAAGGGTTGGTCTCCTCTCCAGCCTGAATGGCACCATTTGGGGTACCTGTGACACTGTCAGAGGGGAAAGCTGGGAGGTAAAAGGGTCACCTGGCAGGCAAAGCTTCCTACAGGGAGGTTTAAAGGGGCTCTGACATATCTGGAGGCACAGGATGAGGATGCAGAAGGAGCTCTGAGCCCAGCTGGTCATGCGGGGATGAAGTTGTCGTGTGCATGCCTTGGTCCTGACATCAATCCCACAGACACCATCACCCACAGGGCAAGCACTGACTTCACAGCTGTTTTAAGCTTACAGAGCACTTAGAGAATTGGCATTAATTTGTACATGGCTTTTTCTGGATTTACTAAAAGAATAAAAATTATTGCAGGCAAAAACATCTTACTGATCAGTCATGAAATGTACACACACTGCTTTTTTAACACAGATTGCAGAAGTTTATTCCATTCAAGAAAAAGATCTTCTGAAAGGAAGTATTTAAGGTGGCTTCAGTTGTCATAGATGACAGAAACATGTAAAAATGGAGCAAATCAATACTGGAAATTTCTAAAGACCTAAGGTGCCCTGAAATTAATTTCTGTAAGAAGCAGGTCTGGATGTGTGACAAAAATTACACTATTTAGACTGATTGTCTGGGGAGAAATTAAGCTGAAATATGCAAGATGATTAAAAAATCCTTCTATATCAGCAATTATTACACACTTTTTTAATTTAGTAGAAATTGTAGTATAAATTACACTGTAGAAAACTATTTCCACTTAAAATATGTGTATATTTTTTCTTAATAATAAAATGTTCATTATTTTTCTGCTTTTAGGTTTTTTTAATTTTTTAAAAAGGAATTTGAAAAACAGTCTGTATTTCATGACAAGACTGTGGAACATCCTTATAATTCCAATTCAACCTACAGTATTGACGAGGTAGTAGTTATGATATTTCTCAATAATCCTTGAATAAGTGTTTCAGGATTTTGAATGTTTGAATGAGCTTTAAAAATTATATCTCCCAACTACAGAAAATATTTTAAATGATTAAATGAAGGATTATTGAATTACTGAAAAATATTTTTTAATCTGTTTATAAATCTTTTGCAGTAATGTCCTGGTTTCTGCTGGGTAGAAGTCATTCTTTTTTCTTAGTAGCTGGCAAAGTGCTCTGTTTTAGTATAGGATGAGAATAATGTTGATAACACTGATATTTTATTGCTGCTGAGCAGTGCTTACTCAAAGTCAAGGAATTTCCAGCTTCCCATGCTCTGCCAGGGAGCAGATCACAAGAACCTGTGAGGCAGCATGGCCAGGGTGGCTGAGCTGCAGTGGCCAAAGGGACACCACAGAACATCAGGCTCAGCACGACACCCCAGAGCTGACCAGGGTGCCCCTCACTGCCCAGGGACTGGCTGAGCATCTTCTGTGTATTTCCATGTCCTAAACTGCAATTCTTTACAACAGGTAGCACACAGCATGCACAAACAGGTAGTATTAATAGAAATACGTGCCAAAGTTAGCAATTGTCATCTGGAACTTACCTAAACTTTTGTTCTTGCTTTACTTGCCTGGCTTGATACACTTTCTCTGGGTGGAGCAAATGTGTGGATTCCAGCAAGATTACCCTGGAGTATGACAAGCACACATAATGACTGCATTTTTAACTTGCAGAATGATGAGGAAACTCAATTTATTCTACCTTTCAAATGCAGGATCAATAAAGAAGCTTATTATTTTCAATTAAAGATACTTTACTTGTGGTTTAACCCAAATTTTTCTGTAAAAGATCTTCTCCCTTGGTATCAAACTAGCATTTCCTAGTGTTACTTGCAAGTAAACAATATACCCCCTGATGAAACACTAGATTGTTCAAAACACTGGAAGCCTAATACAAAGAATTTCAACTTTAGATTACTGTCAATGCCAAAATTGATAATGACTTAATGTAATTGTCAAGAAGCTTTTGAATTATATAAAACTAAATTACATAAAACTAAATTACTTCATCACTTCATTGATAATTTCCAAGGGAGTTATCCAAATCATAACACTAATGCAGCCTCACTGACCACCTCAAGAACTTCAAAATAAAACACAGAATCTAATTAAAGCCATATGATTCCTAAACACAAAGCTTGGAGCAGTGGAAATAATCCTGTTACAGGATTGTTATTGTTGCTGTTATTATTACTATTTGTATACATCAATCCTATTCTGTGGGGGAAAGAGAAACTTAGTTTGCAGCTTCTGCAACATGTATATTTATGTTGCATAAAAAAACAAGTTAAAAATGCTGTGAAAGATGGTTCTTCCAAATAAATTAATGAGATGAACCAATGCTTAGTTCTACAGACTAAAGACAAAATATGGAGTCTGATCACATAAACAGATTTTAAAGTGGTACAATAATCTATTTCCTTTGTATTAAAGAAAGCAACATTATTAACTCTGTAGTTGTTACAGCTATGATGAATACAAATTAAAAATTAGACTAACTGATAATGATGAAAGCCCCAAGGCAAAAACATTTTTTTTTCCTTTTGCATGCTTAATAATTTAAACAGCAGAATAAAGCAGACTGGGGGAAAATAACCAACTATTAATTAACATGGCTTGTTTCTCTTTGTAATTCTGCTGGACCTCAGCCAAACACAAAAATATAAGCAAGGTTTATCAACTCTGATTAAAGCTCCAGCATTACTGATTACACTGAGATGGATTTAAATTACGGCTTATTTATCTTCTTTATTCATTATGATAGCTTCCACTTCATAATGCTTGTAACAATTTTGGGAATGTAAATCCCTATCATTTAACCTCCAGGTTTTACATTTTTAAGAAGAAGAAGAAAATTATGGAAAAGAGTGGATAAAACAGCATGATCATTAAAGAATTGTCTTTATATCACTGTCTACCTGAATATGCCATCAGTTTTGAAGGGATTGGTAACATTCAGGTTAAATTTCTTCAGCTCATAACATGGGGATCTGCACTTTATCATACCCTAAAATAGAACAAAAACCACAAGGTCAAGAATCAAGTTATCATTGTTTTTTCCCTTGTCCCAACCTTCTCTTGCCCTAACACAGTCAGGGCAGCTAAAAAATGAGAGGATCACATAAGCACCATCTAAATTCAGAAGTCTATCCAGATGTGCTCAGTGATTGTGGATTACAAAAACATGACTACCTGCCCTGACTGGGATATACCTGACAACAACAGAGTCTTTGGTTAAAAAGCAGAAACAAATGCAGAAGCATCTACATGCTTCTGCATTTGTGGTCCCTCTACATGTGACATCAGAAATCACTAGACTGAAGCACATGAACACCCCCAAAACAGAATTTCCAATAACATTCATATGCTGAAAGGGCTCCAGATTTATTTTCAGAGCAATCAGTGCAAATTGTTACATTTTATTCAGAATTCAAATGTGATTTATGTCCTTAGGAATCTTACATATTCCTCTAGGGTTTTTGCTGCATGTACATAGTCTAATATTGGAAATCTGAAAATTCATAGGTCAAAGGGGAATGCTGATGGTAACTCCCATTTTCATTTGTATCTCAATCCCCTTTTGTTTGACATAATGTACAGAATTGTTATTGTTATATTTTTTGTGACAATATTAATCATACACACATAAACTTACAAGAGGATCAATATTCTTAACTTCAGATTTCAGAGAGAATGTCAGTGTGGCACCATGTACTCCAACTTTATCTGAGATCAGTAGCAATACTGCTTCAGCAGGGTGCAGGAAACGAATTGTGAATTCCACATTTACAAAGCCTTGTCTCCTAGGGAAAAAAAAAGCACAAAACCAGGGCTCAGAAATTACTCAGAAATGTAATTTCAGGAGCACATTTCAGAGTCTTTGTAAGGGAAGAGTTCTAGAAAAGGAAGCAATTTGTTTCCTCTGAAATATTTTGTTGTAGTATAATCTTCAGCCTAAGAGTATCTTCAAACTTTCTAGTAAAAGAACTATCTAGAAAAAGAACAATACTAAATCCTTATTGCTTTTTACATCAGCATATAGCTTAATTTTTCTTCACACACACTAGCACAGGAAGTTCTCTTTCATTAGAGTATCACCCTAAGTTAACAACTGATCCAATTTATGCTCCTCTATCTGAACAGGTTTTTCTGAGTTAAACAGTCAGACAGTCTGTTATGAACTTTGTGGGACAGATCTAGGTAGTCTTAATAAAGAGTGAGAAAGAAATTAGTTTAAAAAACATTCAAAATAATTAGGAAAGCTGAGTAATTAAGAGGGAGAAAAAACAAAGTTCTCTTGTACAAGCAACAGCTTCTCTCTAATGGGAAAACTGGAGAAGACCATACAGAATGAGAGTTTAGACTAGGTACACATTTAGAGTTCATCTGCATCAGCCCTTCAATGAAGCAAGAATAAGAAAACTTCAGTGCCTGAAGCTCTCACTTTGAAGCTTTCCAAATGTCTCTCTGATTTTGAGATTAGTCTTAAGAAGGCAGTAAGTCTTAAATTGTCAATTCTGAATAATGATGATGAAATCCTGGAAATTCTGTAAATCTGGCTCTTAACAGTTTTCAAGTTCCTACTGCAGAGCCTCCATACAATTCCATTTATGCCACTGAAGAGCGGCCAAGTCCCCCAGAGACTGAGGCTGCTAGGTCACCACACCATTCAAAATGTTCTGAAAAAACATGCTGTGATGCAGGCACCCAGAGGAATAAATTGCCTGAGATGTACACTCCCAAAGCCACTTTAAGGATCAAGTTTTAAGTCTGCTCTGCTCACAAATAAGGACAGGCAACAGAAGTGTACAGCACTTTCTTCCTGATCTTTGCCCTCTGACTCATGCAGTAGCTGAGAATTTGGATTTGAATTTTTTCCTTCTGTGGCAAAACCACAAAGTTGCTTAGTTTTTATCTCTATTAATCCATGTTGTGTCAATGTAAAGTGAGGGCAAATTCATCTCATGGAATTATTCTATAACCTTGGGGGTTTATGCTATTCCTGTAGTGAACTGCAAGTCTGCAAGGCACAGTGCAGTGCCCTGGAGAGTGGGAATGTCAGATGGAGAATTGATGATGCCATAAGCAACATAAGACACTCAGCTATACTGAGAATGTTATTCACATTACTATAATTTCCAAACCCACCTACAACATCATGATATAACATGAAAAACCTGCAAAACTCTCATATGTCTCATCAATTCTAGGAGTTTTTTAAACACTTGCAACAGAATATTAAGAAAGTTATTAATTTCAAAGAACCTATTTTTAATTTAATGATCATGACATTATGATAAACTCTGCAGAGGTTACTGTGCATGACTGGCATTTCCACAGGTGTTTATTTCCATGCAATTTTTCATATATTTGTTTGTGTATATAATGCCAAGCAGCTCAACAACAAGGTTTTGCACATTTTATTCTGTATTGATTTTGCTTTGTAGTTTGTTCTGAGTGTTTCATTTTAAAGGTGAAGTGAAAAACAGCCATGGTATTGACCTTTCATAGAAACACATGGTATTTTCAAGGATTACATTTATATGATAACTCATATTTGAAGTAATTGCAAAGAAAATGGAATCAAATCAGCCTCACAGCTTGCTGAAAACATAGCATTATTTGTGGTTCCCTTTGCATATATTTATAATAGGCATGTAATTTAATACTGACCTATTGATGGTCCTCAAAGAGCACTTTAATTATGTTATCTTCTGGAATTTGACCATTTATATTTGAATTTTTTTCTCCTTCACAGTTTATTTTCATACAAGTGTTGACCTTTTTTTTTCTTTTTACAACCTCTAATCCATTTTATCTGTAAATGGATATCTTGCAGATAAACTTCAAAACTGCTGACAACCAGAGTTACCACTACATCCCTTTGTCCTCACTAGTTAAACAGGGATTAATGAAATTCCTGTATTTATTCAAAAAGCTGCATAGCACAGAAAGACCAAAATGTACTTAGTGAACAAAAACAATGAAATGGTGATATACCATGAGTATTTCTGCTACCAGAAATTATAACTAATGCTTTCCCAAAATTAAATCTCAAATCCCTAGATGTCTCTCAGACATGTAAAATGAACAAGTAACTACATCACATCCATCTTGGTGGGGAGGAAAGATGGGACAAAAAGATGCAGTGTAATACTACTCAAACCTATGTCATGGTCTCTTTATTTCCCAGTCATGCTTAAATTAAGAATAAGAGCCAAAATCTGAGCCTTCAGAAGAAAAGAAATCTACCTGCTTATGCTTCTACAATGCATTGATGTATAAAATGTGAATCAAGTTTTGATACATAGGAGAAAAATATATACATTGGAGACAGATGACTCCTGTAATGATATGAAGGTTTATATATTGCCCTTAAAGCTCTATTGAGCTCAACTGCAAGAGTCTCACTGAAATATTAGTCTAGATTTGTTCCAGGTTAAGGAGACAAACCTGACCCTTATACCAACTAATTTTGCCCTGCTTGTAGTTGAACACATTTCTAGTGTTCCACCACTCTTAAATTAGTAAGTTTCTATTTCTGTAATGCTACAAATAATAACACAAACATTCAATTACTTACATAGGAGGAAGGGTAACAGTGTTTCCTTTAGGTAAAGAGAACTCCTCAGCATCTCTTCCCACAAGAATAGCGTTGTAGGCCAAATTGCAATTGCTCGGGTTCTTCAGGCACAGCTACCACAACAAAAACCAACAAGATCAGCCTTTTTTTACTCATTTTTTATACTATATAAGGTGTGTTCTGTGGGTAAGTTCCAAAATACAAACTGAGGAGATCACAAAATAAGTAAGTACTTCAAATAACTGGGTAGATAATTTTCCTTCCAAAGGGGTGCAGATTTCCCATGGACTATCCAAACTTTATTTTTGAGAGTATAGTGTACACTGCATTCCTATGCCTGTGAATGTCTCAATCCTCTCTTTCATCTCAGATTTGTCAAATTTGTAGATTTTTTCATGTGCTCTCAAGCATAGAGGAAAAACAGAAGTGAAATCCCAATACTGAAGAGAATAAAAAACAGAAAATGCACACTTTCGTCTCGTATATTTACTAGCCAAATGACAAGAAACCTATTAATTCTTTGTTGTAGCTTATATATAATACAAACACATATATACAAACAGTGCTCTAACCTTGCATTACTATGAATCTCAATTCAATGGTATCAATACCTGCTTCACAATAGTTGCATGGAGAGCACCTGCAAATTCTATTGTGTTCTTGGGTAAGTAGTGAGGGAGAGTGTCATACAGGTGGACACACAAAATAAGCATCATGACAGGATTTGGGTCACAGATATCAGTGGCCTAACATTGAAAACAAAAAAAAAATGACATTCAGTTAAAATTTTGCCTGTATAGTATAAAAATAAGAAGAAGGAAAAAAAATCTTATTACACAGATATTTTATTCTAACCTGGAATAGCTGCATTATTCTCATAGCTAATATGAATATGAATCTTGTGACTGCATGAAGGAAAACCCTAACTAATGAAAACCACTGACATGCTCTGGTGATAAACCCAGGGTAAAAATTAAGCTCAACATTTTTCCCCAAAGGTTCAACAGAAACAAATGCTAATGTTATTAAATGCAGCATAACAGAATAAGCATGGAAAACTCACTGTCTGCAAAAACATACATCTTTACTACCTTAAAAAAAATTAAAATCTTTTAGTTTATGTAAAATACCATCCCAAATACTCCTACGTACACTAGGAGTTTACGATAATTTCACCTCCCAAATAACAACGATACAGTTGTTTCTATTGCAGATACTTTTATACTTCTGTAAATTGATTTATAAAAGGTAGAAATTATTCCTACAGGTTAAATATTTGATTTACAGAAATGAGTTTTAGTAGCATCTGTAAAACAAGTCAAACTTTAGTCCTCAGCAATTCGGGTAAGTCACTGAGGAGAGTGGTAAAATGATTTGCCACAGAGTATGAAAAAGGGAGCAAAAAAAGCATTTACCCTTCTGGACTGTCTTTAGTGTTGTAAGAGAGATTTATAGATATATTTATCACCTTAACCATCTGAGTTAATTTTTATTTTCAAGTTAAAGTTTAACGTTTTTAAGGTAAGTTTTCTCTTGCCCTGTGCCCAGCCAAGCAGCTCATCCTACGCCCAGCAGTTCTCACAAAGCTCCTCCTCTAACCTTCCAAGAGAGTGAGTACATAACTGGGCACTGATCTGAAGTTCCCCTGCAACTCTCCATGGCTTCCTAGATAACGTTTTTCCTTGTAATTCTTAAGATTAATTTCATAGACTCTTCATGCAATGATGTAATCATACACATCTCATCTCATATTTCTATTTAATTCCATCACCACTGGTTGAAAATTCGAACTTTAGGATGCATTAACTATGCAAAGTAAGAAAGCTTCTTCTGTGCCAAAAGCTTTAAACCTGAAGTCTGAAAAGCATTTTGGTTTTTCCATTTATTTATCTCAGCAATGGCTATTGAATGTTAACCATTATTCCAATACAGTTGTGGTTTTACACCCCTACTTTTCACTTTTCCTGTATTTTCATTTAAGATAGAAGATTACCTGTTGAAGACTTTCTTCTGCCACTTACTTCTTTCTACCCATTTCCACTTAGATCAGAATTTATTCCCTGAGAAATTACAACTCTATCCTGTGATTACCTCATAAAACTCCATTTGTGCCATTTATCTACTACTCTAAGAACTAAATTTAAAAAAATCACATTTCTTAACAAGATTCATCAGAAAAAAATCACAGTAAACATTATTTGCTTTTAAAAATATGTATTGGCAAACAATAGCAATAATTATAAATTAATAATAATAAATAATGAAATCTGAAAAAAAAATCTTTTACTGGCTATTCCCAATCTCTGCACCTTCCATCCTAATCTCTTTGTCACATACATTTCCTGCATGTTGCTGCTATCTACCATCCTATCTTGTAATTTTTTATTTTAGACTTTCAGCTGAATCTTCTTCAAATCAAAGCATTTTAAAACTTAAAAATATCAAACACAAATTAAAAACACATAGACAGCCACCACTAATTCTAGGGTTGAATTGTAAGTCATGATCAGAAAGTGGAAACCATTTTCTGCCTGAAGTACTCCATCTTAAATCTACACCTTAATCCCTAAAAGGATTTCAAAGCCTTGAACTCCATTAAAAGTGTCATTTAAACCTGAAGCTGAAGATTAGCTGACAGTTGAACTTCTTTATCATTACAGATTCTTAGATTTTTAGATTGAATATGCCAGCTTTAAGACTTAACACATCTCAGCTTGTGCTGTTAATTAATGCAAATGTCCTGAGAGTTCAAAAGCAGTGACTGCCTGAGTCAAGAATTTTGCTAATACTATTGGAACATTTTAGCCTGCTAAATTTCAGACAAGATTATCAGAAAATTCCCAAATTAAGAGATTTCAGCAAAAGGATTCATGTATTTTGCCATTTTTATCACCGCAGAACAAGATAGTTCAGATGTTTCTACAACAGCCTTAGAAAAATATATATGAATTTCAATGAATCTATGTAAATTTGAACTAAAATACAGACCTCGAAGATCCAAAATCGGTTCCTTTTCATGGTACTGTGTACCTTTGTTTGAATTGTTACAATTCTGTACAGAAGTGGATTATCCCATTTACTGTTGACAATTTAGTCTTAAAACAGGTACATTACTGAGAACATCCTAGAATTTTGCTTCCACACCTAAAGTGCTCAACACCCTTTCATACTGGCATCAAGCCTCTGCCTTTATGTGCTGAACTACCTGTTTTTCTTAATAAAAGCTGAGGCAGAAATACCTTTGTTTTGAGGGTTATACCCAGATTACTTTTTTGCTCCCTGTCAGTAACAAGTATGGAAAGCAGTAGATTTTCTTTGTCATAACAAAGTCATTTCTAACAGAGTGATCTGCATCAGGAAACAACAGCAAGACAACAGCTGATACAAATGGAAATAGCAGGGTTAATTTTTCCTTGTAATCATAACTCAACCAAATGGAAAGGGGAAAAAATTGTAATTGAATATCTTTTTATACTACTTTGTTCACACAAATAAGCTCTACCTCTGATTCCTAATGCCATTAATTCCTTTGGAAAGTTTCCTCCTACACTTTCAAATACCATATCTATGCTACTGTATCTTTTGCTCTTCCAGCCAGCCCAATATGCTCTCAGAGATATAAATAACTCACAAACAGTGAAGGAAATGTAGACTAGGAGCAGAAAAAAAATGGGTTTGAGAACAACAAAAAGAACAAAAGAACAATATCTAACCTATGTAAGATCACCATATATAGAAAATTTGGAGCCATAGGTCAATAAAACCATGGAGATGTAAAGCACATTTACTAAACATATAAAAGAGATCCCAAGCAGATCCTTGATGGAAGAAATTATCAACAATTATCAACATTGCATTCCTCCCCAAAAAAAAACATCAGAAGCTGATGGTTTTGAGCGAGTGCTATTTTCACCAGCATCCAAAGCTGCTGATTTCTTCAGGCACCAAACCTAGGAAAAAATTCTCAAGGGCCTTCATGTTTAAATGCATCTAACTGTCACTAGACATTTGTATAATTTTTTTCACCATTTATTTTTATGATTAAGTGCATGATGTTTGTTCTTAAACATATTTTTTCTAAATTGCCTTCCAATAGTAATAATTAATTCCATTTGAGTTTTCACTGTGTGATTTAGGATGCAAAAATTTGAACTGAATTAATTTATGTTCAGCTAGTCATGCATGGGCGATTCTACAAAAGTAATTATGGAAATTACTTTTAATTAAGTCTATTAATATGAAGCAGTGTTTTGGTTTCCATCGTATAGTAACATATTCTAAAACAAAACTGTTTCACTACAATCTCACCTTAATTGGATGTCCAACACTACTATACAAAAAATCAAAATAAAAATATGAATACATACAAGAGCTGCTAATATAAAATCACATACGTTTACGCCCATATCCAGATTGATAGCATGCAGAGCCTTCACAAGTACCAAGGAGTTGTGAAAAAACTGTTCCTGAGTTCTTGGATTAGTATACATCTTTATGAAGTGAGTGGGAATCTAAACAAGACAGAGAAATCAAACTCAACCTTCCACTAGGCAAAATTACTGGTTTTGTATTTTTGCTAATTCAGCAATCAATAAGATCTAAATTTTGAATTGAAATTCCCTGTTAAGAATAAACCCAGTAAAAAAAAAAAACCCAAAAAACTAATACTGAAATAATCCCTAACAATTTGGTAAATATTGGGTTTGGTTATTTTTTTCCTTTTTAAAGATCCCATAGGCCAAGACTTGCTGTAGGGGAAACTTCCCTGTCCAAGCACCCAGGAGCCACTGGCAGTGACCTGAGCTGGGACTGAAGGGCCCCTGCAGTGTGAGGCTGGAGCGAGTGATGGGAGCCCTGCTTGACTCCCCACACACCCCACTCTGACACCCTCAGACAGGCTTTCCTCACTGTCTCGACCCCAGGTTTCCCTCAGCACCATCTGGATCCTTAAAATAATTTAATCTGAGTGCAAAAACAGAAGAACACCTCGAGCTGGTCCTCTGAGGAGGGACCGCGTGCCAAGGAAACCCTGGGCTTTTCCACCCCTCAGCCTGGCTGTGTCCAAGTCTGGGGTGTTCCTGCTGGATCCTCGCTCCTGCTGTGTCCCTCTGGCCACCTGGCTGTGCCCCAGGTCCCCAGACCTTCCTTAGGCAAAGAAAGGCAAAGTGCCAGGTCTCTCTCCTCGGGCTCCCAGCAGCCAGAGCTCCTCCAGCTGCAGCCCCCACCACAGCCACACCCCAGGGCCTGCCCGCACTGCCCTCCTCAGCATTGCAAAACAAAACAAGGCACTGACATTAATAACTGCACATAAAACTTGCACCATATTAAAAAACATTCTTACCAAATATGGACAATAAGCTGCCACCAGTGCTGCCAACACCAGACCATCCAGAAGGTCGTGGTCAAAATTCACTATCCATCTCATGGGTGGTATTCCACCTGATTAAAAGACAAAGCAAGATTCATGAGCCTTTCTTCTCCCCAGGATGCCTATTTTGTTCTAAATAGATATGGTAACTATTTGAAATCACTGATTAGAAGAAATAAAATAAGGAAGCATCCATTCACATGCAGAATTTCACTGTCCTGTTGCTGAAAACTTGAAAAATCTCACCTAGAATATTGTAGCCGTTGTTCACTCTGCTGCACCATGTAAGAGTATTCATCACAGCAGAATGGAAAACAAATAATCTAAACTTAACCTCACAGATTAGGAGCCTAAATATTTAAACTTTTTATTACTGTAGGCCTAACATTAATAGAGCTACTGAAACTCATAAAAATATGGAGAAATCCTTTAAAGTTGAAATGCTTAGGACACAAAAAGGAAAGGTTACTGATTTTCTTTAAGGTCATATTGAATTATTTGGCATATATGCAATATAAATGAGAGCTAGCAGCTCAATTGTTACAACAGAAATCACCAGTTCTACAACTTTGTAAACCCCAATGCCTAAGAAGGTTAGATAATTTTTATATATTTATTATGTTTTTATTAAAATAGATTATTAAGACATTAAATGTAGTTTATTTATAATTTCATATTTGAAGTATCCATATCTTGAAATATTTAACATAGCACTTACACAACTTTACTATCTCAGGTCCAAGCTTCCAAATTTAGGAAACATTTTGGATTTCAGCCAATGGCAAGGTTTCAGATGAACTGGGATCAAGCTTTCTCACATGGGACAAATTATATAGGTTTCATTTCACTATTACACTTAAATTAGTTCAACCCAAAGTAAACTCCTGTACCAGATCCTCAGCAAAATCTATCATTATGCAGAAAAAGAGTAGACATTTATAGGCTACAGTTGAGGTATCATCAAAAAATTTAAAATGTCTCTCACTTCACATCAACTTTCACATGCTTCAGCATACCCATAGAGGTTTAGTAAGAAAAAAACAGGAGCAGATGCTGCATAAGTTTAAAAACAAAGGCCTGTAAATCCATCTGAGCTTAACTCTGTGACATCAGTAATGATTTTAGCTTGTCACTGCTTCAGTGTGGTTATGGTTAGGCTTGGCCCAAAATCCCTTACTTTTTCCTATTCATGCTGTGAATCAATTTTGGTAACACTATTCTAAATAGTCATTAAATATATATTCATTAAATATATTTTTAAAAACAACAAACACTGTTTAAAAGAATATTTGCATGAATATTTCATTAAGTTTTGAAAACAAAATTAAAACTTGCATTAAATTCACTCTGTCAAAACTACTTTTTCCTTACTGTTTATCTGAAAGAACTTTTTGAAGCAGAAAATTCAAATTTCAACTCTTGAAAACTCCATATTGGAAGGTACCAACGATGGAGGATATATAACTGACTGGATATACAACATCTTCCTGTTACTTACGACAGAAAGAGTTAGAGTAATATAGACCTCAATATCTAAATTGTAACAGTATTAATTTTAACTCAATTCAGACATCAATTTTACAAATATTTACAGTAAGAGACATTTGTTTCATCCCATCTTCTTGGCAAGCTGCTCACAATTATTTAAAAAATATTTTATGTAGTTGCTGCAAAAAACAAATACCTTAAAAATAGCAAGATACATTTTTGAAAGTATACTTTCTTCTTAAAAAGTCAGTCTTTCTAACATTCATCATTTTATTGATCACAGTTGGGACTTATAAAAATGAATAAACTGTCTTCTTTTTTTTATTAACAGAGTTCAGACTCACTCTCAACACCTTATATCAGCATTTTTAATAAATCACCATTTTCAAATTTTTATTTTTAACCTTTTAAGATTAACTATTTCTGCTTAAGTAAGTCCAATATTCAATTATTCTTCTGGATAGTAATCTAGATTGATTTGCTGAGCAATGGTTACAGAAACTCATTAAACCATATTCTTTGATGAAAAAAATGGGTGCATAAAGGAAAAAAAAACATTACGTAGAATATTTTCACAACTTAGCTAATTAAATACTTCATAAGCAGTTTTGTTTTTCAGTTAATCCTTCTGCTATCAATCAACCTACTTAACTCAAAGGCTTGTGAATAAATTAGTCAGAAAACAAAATGTATTTTTCCTAATTACATCAAATCTAGCAGAACATCTGCCAGCTAACCACTCTACAGTAATTAAGTTTTTAAATAGAATTAGTTAATTTTCGTAAAAAAAAAAAAAAAACAATAGAAATCAGAATTATTACTCAGGATACCTCTAAGCTTGTAAATATATTGAATTTCATTTGTACTGGCATTTCTTGAAAAAAAAAAAATCAAGTGGAGCTCTAAGACAAAGATTTACATCCAATGTAATGATAAAAACCTGGCCAAAAAATAGTTTCAAAGATAAATGGCAACAGGTAGCAAACAACTTTATGTGACTGGGGGCAGAGGGAGAGAAAATTGTTCAAACTTTCACTTCTGAATTGAGACAGATTCCTGCTACTTGCTAGCTGCATCCCAAAAGAGCTGGCTGCAAATTTTGATAACACCAAGACTGAAATGGCACATTCTAAATCTCCCATTAATGAAGAGGAGTGAGACAGAAGCCCCAATTAGGCAGATAATGAACTGTGCTCTGCATATAGACTAATGAGATTGGGAAAACTGGGGAATTGGAGTTATGAAAAGAAGAAGATCCAAAAAGGAAACATCTCCAAAACTAATCCATGGTCTTGATGAGACAACGGGGACTGGAAAGAAGGTGACAAAAATTCATAATTGGAGGAAAGATTTTGGAGATGGGAGAAGATTCTGAAGATCAGAGAGGTGCATAGAGACAAATGCCACTGCATGTCCAGGGACTTTGGACAGACACGGGATTGGTCTCTGAGCAGCAGCACAGCAGGAATTGACTTTTCCCTGATGCTCCAGAGGCACTGAGGAGATGTGAAGAGTGTTGTGGGAAGCAACTGGATGTGTGAAATTATCAAACAGGGCAAGAGCTGCTTCTACAACACATCCAGGATCCTCATCCACCACAGGGTGTTTTGTACTCTGTCTCACCCACAACAAGAGGTGAAAATACTTGGTAAATAAAAATAACTTAGCAGGATTATCTCGAAGGGGATGTTCAGCCACTTATGAGTGCACTCAAACACTTGTTCTGGTTATAGAGATCTAAAAATACACTGCAAAAGGCCTCTGCAAGGGATCAGAAATGAGAGTAGTTCTGTTTCACTGGCTGATTGCACTTAGCACTAAAGGAAGTAGCACGCAGTCAATTCAGTGATTTGGGACCAACTGAACTCTGAAAGCAGTTACTGTTAACAGGTTTGTTGGGTATTTTTTTACAGGTATCATGTTGCATGCATGTAGCAACCAAGCATTACAGCATTGTCTCCATCTTTGTTGTGACAGGTTAAGCCAACTCTTGAAGACACACTGCTTTCTTCATTCATGAAGCATTTCTGCACAGAAGCAGCAGAGTTTTACCACGGCACTCTAATTATTCACCACTTTTTAAACATTTTTTTCAAAAGTAAAGCCAAAATCAACGAAGTTTTTAAAACTTGATGTTCTTACCCTGATGAATCAATAGAAAGTCAAGGTTTTGCAATGGGGTTTTTTGCTCATATTCTATTTTTCATTAAAATCCCCAAATCAAACAACAAAAAAACCCACACCACCAAAATTAAATATTTTTTTATACTTATTATTATATTTGAAGCCTCAACATTTTTTTGTGGGATTTGAAAACTATTTTCCATACTGAGATAATCAAGGCAATACCATAACAATTCTACACAAAAATGACAAACCACTTACTTATTGTCAGAATTCCAAGCAACAGTCACCATAAACTCCTCTAGGTCAATTTATTTTTATTTCTTTGATATGTAAATGATACAATAGACCAAGGAAAAATACTACACATTTTAACTTCAGTAAAATTTTGATTGCATTCTTTGTCATAGAAAAGCAATGTAAATATATTCTAGGAAAAAGGTCCTATAAAGTGAAGCACAAACTTCACTGAAAAACAGGAACTCTACCTGCTATCAGCTGTCCACAACAAAAATCCTAGATTGTGTACTTGCTAATATTCTCATATGCAATTTTTTGAAAATTGCACAAAATTATCTTACTCTTATCTGGAGAGAATATAAAACAGATTAAAGAACTGACTTTGGAAAGAAAAATTGTTTGCAAGTATTCATGAGGAAAGGACTATAATTTAAGCTCTTGAACAACTGGAGTAATGATCTGAAACAAATGGGATGAAATCCAATAATGATGCTTGCAGCACACTACAATTAATTAAGAATAATTCATTACACGAATGCTAGATGAAAAATCAGACAGAGAGAACTTCTGCAGAAAAGAATCTGGAGAAAACAGTAAATCAAATACTGTGGCAGGAAAAGCAAACACTGTGTTAGTATGCATTAACAGGAGAGTTGCATCTTAGGCACAGACTGATCTTTTCACTT